TGCTTGTAATTTAGGAAAAATCAGTAGGTGCCTTAGGGACGATGGAGTTGTTAATGGGTCTAGGTGCTGCTAGGATTATAGACGAGCCAAAAACTTAGTTGGCTGAATTCGAATCTCCCAACCTCGAGAGACTCACACAGGCTTGGGGCTGAACCAACCCCAACAGGTTCAGCAAAAGAAGGCTAGATCCAACAGGAGGTTGATCGGCCCCTTGTCCCTCTTTTCACTAGGAGGAAATTACTCCCCCATCCTATTTTTGTTTCCTGTCAATACATTTTCTATTAGTATGTGTTGTCCTAGGTGGAGTTTTTTGTCATTCTAAGTTTATATTTTTGTCCATCTTACCGTCGGCGGTTGTTTTCCCTTCTAGGATTGAAACTAAAGGCAAGAAGGTGCTTCAGTTGTAACTCATCCAATGTGATGATCTTCTCAAAAGGATCGAGGGGTGCTCCAGCTGTAACTCGATCTCGCATAAATGCTTATCTTCCCTAATCCCTTGCTTTAATCCTCTATCCCATTCCCAGTCGCCAGTCAAGAACCCGCCCAGCTGCTCCTTGTCGTAACCCTCGCCTGCACATCCGGCTACCATACTACCCGCTCGCTTCCTTCCATAGTGTCATGTCTCCAGCTACCTCTATGCCCCTCACCATCTCTTTGTTCCCATACCAAACACCTTACCCCACCCCTACAAGTATAATTGTAAACGAGCCGAGTCTGAGCGAATTTAGTTCGTGTTTAAAATGGCTCGTGAACAATGTGTTCGTATTCGGCTCAAATAACATATTTTTGTTCGTGTTTGGTTCGAAATTGGTTGGTTGTATCTTGGTGTTTTGTAGGTTGGATCGCGGTTGTATTAGATCAGAACAGCGGTCACGGTGTTATTGGGGATTGTATTGTGGTGTTATTAAGGTATCGCGTGGGCAAGGGTATTATTGGTGCAATGTGGCTGAAGAGTATGCGATGGTATTGGCGAGTGTTATTGTGGTATTATTTAGTTGTATTGTGGTATTATTTAGGTTGGATTGTAGTTGTATTGGCTCAGGACCGCAGTCGCAGTGTTATTGGGAGTTGTATCATGGTGTTATTTGGGTGGGATCGCGGTGGCAAGGGCAGTATTAGCGTGGCATGGCTGAAGAGTTTGTGGCGGTATTGGCGGGTGTTATTGAAGTTTGTACCGCAGTGTTATTACGGTCTAGCATGCATGATATCGAGTAGTGATATTGGAAGGTTTGTGCTACTACAAATAGGCGTTATTGAGAGTGTTACCACGGTGTTATTGAGGTGTTATTGGTGAGGAATTGAGGAATATTGGTGTTATTGGCTTAGCTAACCCAAACTAAACCAATATATTTATTTATTTATTTATTTATCTCTTTTCGAGTCAATTCGAGCTAAACACGAGCGAACAAATGTTTGTTCGAACACGAGCAAAAAAATGTTTGGTCGTGTTCGGCTCGTTTATATTTTGAGCTTAAAAATTTGTTCGTGTTCGGCTTGTTAGGCTTAAAAAATGAGTCGAACACGAGTTGCTTAACAAGCCGAACACAAGCTGTTCGCGAACAATGAGCCAAGTTGACAACCCTACCTACAAGCACAGCAACACGCGTAGCCTCCCCTTTAGCCTGTATCCCCCATACAGTGCCTTTCGCCCCTACAACTACCTCCCATATCCCGCACTGCCTACCCACTACCGACCTTCGCTTTCATAAACCATCTAGTGACCAACCACATCCAAACAACTGTTGTCCTTCCACCAAAAGCCACCATCAATCCCACTTCTCCTCTACTCGCCGCACCACCTCTCCGCCTCTCTGTCTCTCCACCTTACGCCCTAGCTTGAATTGTGTCGTCGTTTCTTATTTCAAGAGTTTGTGTTTGAAATCACTTTTGCGTTTTAGCAATAAAATTTGCATTTATTGTGGTTTGGGTTAACTCTGGTATAACTAGAGTGATAATCATATGTGATTCATTTTGTATTACGAACTTCATTTGAAAAATTGTACATAATTTGTATAAATGCTCAAACCAAAAAGCAATAAAATCATGGAATACATATCAAGGGAATGCAGCAATCTTATGCTAACCTACAATCAATTCATAAAAATGGGGTGAATTACCAAACGAATTAGAATTGGATTCTTTATGCAGCTTAGAAGTTTCATATTAATTATAGTTTTAATTTCAGTTTGCACTTACATTTTTGTCTAATAGGTAAAATTATCCCTAAATTAGACTCGTTTACATTTTAACTTGTTATTTTGTGCATGTATTTAAACTATCATCATAAAGCAGTTCATTATCCTGAAATTTTATAATATTTTCATTATTATGACTTGAAAGTTGGATTCTTGAACAATAGCATGATTTTACAAGGACATCAGAAGGTTATATGATATTTACCATTGACGCTTATGGTAAATCACCTAATAATGTTCGTTAGGACTTCTAAAAGGTGGAGTAAGTTGACATGTGGAAGATACAAAACTTGACTTAATAATCACATGGAATTGTGCTAGTGGTAAAAAATTGATTGCCATTATTTCTAGATGAGCTATAGTCTCCTTTCCACTGCTAAGTCTTTATGGTGAACTTCTTCTAAATTCCTTGGTACAAAAGTCGTCTATCTTCATCTCAGAGTGAAGATCATTAACAAAACTAAATCTCACCACCCACGTTTCTTCTTGACGAGTATATCAAGAATTTAATTCTTCAAATTGATTTAACTACACATCAATATTAGGATTTTCTTCACAAAAATTTAGTAGCTCAACTAATCAAGATGCATAACAAGCAAGGTTGTTAAAATCAGACCGAACCGGTCGGTCAGACCATGAACCGGTAGGACAACCAGTTTGAATGCAAGAGATAACCGGAGGAATAGGATTGGAGAAAACCAGGGTCTAACCAATCGATGGCTGAACCGGCCGTGGTTTTTAATAATCAGGTTTTTTTTTAGATTGCATTGCATTCTTTTTAATAAATGATTCGGTGGAAGAAAGGATCAAAGGAATATGAAAGTTACTTTATATTTTTATTTAAAATTGTAATATATATTTGGGGTGATCATTGTTATATTTACTTTAGCTTATTTGCTTTATTATACAAAAGAATGTGACTAAATGATATAGAAAAAGTTATGTGATTGAAATAGAGCAGAGCTTTAGAAAAATGTAATGTTTTATTTTATCCTCCTCATTGGATAAAAATATTGGATTTATAATAGGAATGTAGAGAAGATGTGCTTATGGCTGTGGCTTTCAAGTTTGTTAGGTTTTTAATTAATCTCAATTTTCTCTCATCTACATTTTACTTTTATATTATCAAATCTTGAATGAACGAAATACGAAATACAAGATTTCAAAGAAATATCAATATTTTTTTTTTTTTGGCTAAAATTGTGAATGAGGTTAGTCATTAAAATATTAAATATTTATATATTTAAAATTATTGAATTTATTTTTATGTGTTTTAGGTTTTATAATGAAATTTTGATCACTTTATAATTAGTATTTGCATATAATATATCATTATTATGTTATTAATTTCATATTTAATTAATTTTTATATTTATTACATCATTTGGTTCATCCCGGGTCGACCTAATGAACCTTGAACATTTCCTTCTATCGATTTGATGTCTGGTCCGGTTTTCACAATATTGATAACAAGCAAGCAGGTATTTGTCTTTCAGGATAACTTTCATATGAACCCAGGATAAGTATTTCTCTCTCAATCTAGCTTTCATCAAGACACAAGTTCTAATAGGACATTCTATAAAATTATTCATGTTGTACTAACTCTGAGTAAAATTTCTTAGCACCACCAACTAATTTGATATTAGTAAATTTTAAAATATTCTTAATTTGATATTAGCATATTTGCAGATATTCTTGATCATACCTGCTGTGAACACTAGGGGTGCTAACCTAAACTTCCTTTATTGCTTAAAATTCACTAAGACAAGGGTCACGATGAAACCAACGATCTCTTTCATGAAACCTATAGTGTCAATCATCATGACCATCAATATTACAATAATCATTAGGAAGATCGTCAAGATTTTTACGGCCACTAAAATTTCAATGATCTTTATTGCTTCATGTCTCGAAGGTTCCAAGTTACTTAGGTCGAGGATGATGGACATCATGAACTTTCATAAGGATATATCTAATAACGAGGTCTAATAATTTGAGGAGGTCCGCCAAAATTACTACGGTGCTATGTCGTAAATGCTAATCATCAAGCATTTCTTCTATTAAATAATTATGGGGCTTGGAGGAACTACAGGTCTACCATGAGATGGATTTCTTACGAGTTCATTAAATAAAGAAAAAACACCATAAAATATTCCGCAGCCAAAATTTCTGAAAGTTAAGGCCTTCTATTTGGCTTAAACATAACTACATAAAATTTGTCTTATAGAATTCAATTTTTATTATTAGTCCTCTTAATTTTTACATTATCTACCCATTGTTCAATTTGTATCATATGCATACACATCTTTTATGTTCACCTCTTAATACATCAAAGTTCATGATAATAAGAATGGAAAAGCACAATTGATATCCGTAATGAAGACAACACGACAATCATAGAATTAATTATTGGTTTCATATTTCAGTTGCATACATGATTTCATATATAATAAATCAATTCAATAGAAATTAAAAAAGTTAAAATATTCAAATTGAACAAAGTTTAATTCATATGTGAATTATAAATAATCTAAGGTTATCTCTCAATATCAAAAAAGAAATATCTGCACTACCCTAACTCTCAAATTGATAAAATGGCAATATCACTAGAAAAATATTCATTTCACAACTAAAAAATCATCATTAACATCATTCACAATTCATTTTAAAATCCAAAAAACTCACATTCATTAAACATGCCAAGTCCTACAATTATGGGAGGTAACAGCATTTTCAAGAAACAGTAAGTCAATAAAACAGAAAATATGACACTATTATGAAAAGAGATCAAACATTAGAACTCACCTCATACAGAAGGTACTTCATACGTTCACTAATAAGTCTGCTTTCATCTCTCAAAGCAATACTAATAGCTGGATGTAGCCAATGAGCATTACTGAGCCATGTATCAACAGAGGAATGCCCTGCAAATACATGACACCACCATATAGGTCCTTCAGGACGCTCCCAATATGGAGCAACAACACCAGCAACCGTAAAGTCATCTTCATCCTCTATCAAATTCATTTGTTGTGAAGACCATTTAGCATCAACTTGGACAATCTGCACTAGTTCTGAAATCCTTGCCCATCCAATAGGAACCCAGTGACTATCAGACATTTGGTTCTTATAGTGCACAGTTTCCTTATAATAAGGAGTGTGAGGCTCATCATCTCTTACAGCAGATGCACTATTCAGGTCTATGAGAGAGTGGCACCCCATAAATGTGTTATCATTCAAGTTCTGAGCTAGAAGTTGGCTTGGGAGAGTTCTTGCAGTTTGTCTTCTTAGATTTTGATCATCATTTTGATGCATAGGTTGAGATCTTGGACAATTTTTTTCTGTAGTTGTACGATTTGATCCTCGAACAAACTCAAAAGCACATATAAGCCCATCAGTCCAAAGGTCACATACAGGAGCACCCTCTCTGCCTGAATGAAACTCTTGCCTGCTAGACTTAATTCCTGAAGGAGATTTATGATTTTCCATGCTGCTAATTTTACTTGATGGAAATCACAGAATTCAATTTGCAGCTGATGAGTGTGCAAGTTTCTGAATTATTTTGGAGGAATTACTCTGAGGTCCTGCAATTGATAATATGTCAAAGAGTCAGTTCTAATTCATAATAGCAGTTACAAATCCTCGTAAAGGGAAAAACAAATACATGTTGACAATCAATAACATATTCATGAACCTGCTGTATAAAACATTAAATAAAAAAAACAGCTAATTAATGCAGATAACCAGGAAAGAAATTAATGGCCAATTGTTTTAACCCAAAAATACTCCAAAACTTTTTTTACAATTAAGCCCTAGTTAAATTATAGCCTCTCAACAACCCGTCTTACTGTTCTTAAAATATTTATACTCATACAAATAGGTTAAATAATTAAGGGTTTATTATTGGATTCAATATTATCCCTGGAAAGGTATAAAGTCTTTACCATAGATGCAAACCAAAGCCAAAGATACTAGGGAAAAAAAGATCAAGGTTTAGAATTTCATTGTAAGTGGTTTTGTTTTAAAAAAAAACACAGTTGACTGATTTGATAGAGAAGGGTGAGTCAATTTGAGCTAAAAATAATTTAGGAGAGAGAATTAAACATGGGAATTCAGAAGATAGTTGGCACTTGGAAAGAACTTCAAGCGGGTTTTAGGTTAAAATCAAGCACCTTTGGTGAGTTATCCTACCAAAAACATTAGATGGTTGGTGAGTACCTAGGACAAGGCCAGATTTTGTGGGTAAATGGCCATAATGAGGCCAGTATAGTAGCTTAGCATGAAGAGCCAAGTTAGATTTAATTCATGGAAAGCCTATGCTACTCAATGTTAGCAAATTCAAGGCTCTATGTGAATTTAAGTTTGGTAAATTCTGATTGTATTCTTCATGATTTGATTAACGTGGCCCAGGTGAATATGAGTGTATAACAATCTTAACAACACAAATAAATAAATAAATAAATCTTCAATCAAATATGATCAGACGTTAAGAAAAAAATACATACTATAAAAAAAAACTACTGCTGTTTTAATTAGGGTATAACAAAATAATAATCTCATAAAGGAAATTCAAATCCCACAACAGTCAGTTTTCACTCTGACAATATGAACATGCAAACCAATATACACCCTAATATTCTAATAAGTTAAAATATACAAGAGCTTGATGACAATTAATAATTGAAAATTAGGAAAAAAACAATTTATTAAAAATTACTAAAATGAGTGGAAATTCTTAGAAAGATTTCTATTTCTTGCTACTTTGCATTACCCCTTACTACACACAAATATATAATAATGTGTCCAACATACCGGTCTACAAAATAGAAAGCATGAATCCTATGAAATTAGGAATCCTACCAAATAGAAAAAATTAAAAATAGGAAACATATAATAAAAGAGACACAATCAGAGAAATATATTCCGAGGGAAAAAAATAAATTCCTTCCTAATCAAGCATGTGAATTAGCACTACTATGTGCTCTCCCAAAAGTTGAGTTGTATATATTGTACAAATCAAGCTTTGAATTCAATTCATCATAATAGACCCTTGGTAGTGCTTTGGTAACGATATCAACAATCTGATGTTGTGTTGGAACATGGCTTAGCTGAATAATTTCATTGTTAATCTTTTTTTTTGAAATTAAGTGTCAATCAATATCGATGTGTTTTGTTATGTCATGGTGCACAGGATTTATTATTATACTAACACATGCTTATCTATCATTGAACATCTTAATTGTGTCTTTCGTCTCAATCGTAAGTTCCTTTAATAGCTTTTGCATTCACATTCTTTCACATATTTCTAGTGCAAGAGCACAATATTCAGATTTTGCACTACTCCGAAAGACAAAAGTTTTGTTTTTGCTTCTTCACGTGACAGCAATGCCCCAGACATGAAAACTATCTAGTGGTTGATTTCTTATTAGTTACCTCTCCTAACCAATTAAAATCTATGTATGTCTCAATCTCATAATTTTCATAGCTTCTGAAGTGCAAATTATATCTAGGGGTCATCTTGAAGTATCTCAAAATTCTGTTCACTCATGTGTTGGCTTACCACACTGACTGAGTAAGCACTATCAAGTGTTGTGTATAATACATAGAATAACTTGCCCACAAGTCATTGATATATTCTTTTGTCAAATAGAGTGTTTTTTCACTTATGTTTTATTTTTTGTTAGAATACATAAAAGTGTCAGCAGATTTACATCCAACCATATAAGTTTCACTTAAAAGGTCTATGATATACTTCCTTTGGAATATGACAATTTCCTCCTTATATCGAGCCACATCCATTCCTAGAAAATATAGGAGAGTCTTGTGGTCCTTGATCTCATTTTTTGTTACAAGCATCCCTTTTTGTCACATGATTTCCTCTGAATCATCATTTATAAAAATAATATCATCTACATATACTATGAAAATAATAATTTTGCCTCTATGATTGAATTTAACAAACAGTGTTTTATCAGCTTAACATTAATGCTAGTAATCATTATTTTAACAAATCTATCAAATCAAGTGATAGAAGATTGCTTCATATCATATAAAGACTTCTTCAACTTGTAAACTAACTTATCGTTTGACCCATTTTCTATGCTCAAAGGTATGGTCATGTAGACTTCTTCATCAAGGTTCATGTTCAAAAAATATTTTTGACATCAAGTTGGTATAAAAGCTAATCTTAATTTACTGCAAGAGACAGAAGGAGCTAAAACGTATTAAGTTTGGCAACAGGTGCAATGATTTTCTGATAGTCAATCTGATATGACTGCATAAAATGCTACAAGTTTGGCTTTGAATCTGTCTACACTTTTATCTCATTTATATTTGATCATTAATATCCATGTGTAGCATACATGATTTTTTCCGTGAGGTAACTCCATAAACATCCATGTATTATTCTTTTATAAAGCCCAAATCTCTTCCTCACAACTTATTGCAAGAACCTATAGAATCTCTTGGATAAAGTTTGGAATCTGCACACTATCAAGATTTGTAAGAAAAATTCAATAACAGGGTAACAAATTCTTATAAACTACATATCTTTTAATTGGATGACTAGTGTACCCTTGAATACATTTTCTGTGAGCAATTGGTTAAAATCATTAAGAAATGGTATGAGAGAGTTATGAGATGAGGAATTCATACCATTATGATTATCAAATGTAGAAGGGCTTGGCTCTAGCTCTTTACAGTTCTGCGTTTGCATAGTGTCGTCTATATGCTCTGCGTTCCTTCATCTTCTGGTGTAGAACCGAAGTTCCTAATCATTAGTGTAATGTTTAGGAGGAGTAAGGATAATTGGGATTGTGACTATCATAGAATTTGGTTCTTCAAGTGAAGCTAGTTGAGTAGCAGGGTTTGATTCAATTAAAGGAAAATACTATAGTATCTTTGCAAAGATCTCAAATTTGATATTCCCTTGAGTTCTCCTCTTCCGAGTTCTCCTCTTCAATGTAAAATTTTAAAAAATAAGATTGATTCTCAAAGAAGATTGAGTTCTCCTCTTCAATGTCAAATTTTAAAAAATAAGATTGATTCTCAAAGAAGATGATATTCATGAAATTGCATATTTTTTTAGTGGTTGGAGAGCAACATTTGTCCCATTTTTATTTGACAAGTAATTGAGGAATGTATATCTGAAAGACTTGGGATCAAGTTTAAGACCGTGCTATTGATGGGATATGAATAAAGGTGAAACAGCTAAAAACCTTCAATGTTAAGAAAGAGCGGATATGTGGATAGAAAATCCATGAGTGCATTACCATGAATTTAAAATCTTAGGACCAGACTAATTTAATAACCAGTTCTAAAATTTTAGGATTTTTCTGTTCAACGCCAGCTCATTTGAAACAGAGGCGTCGACAACGGGGGAGTTAAACAGAGCAATTATCCCGCCTCTCCTCAAATGTTCGACCGCATTAGAGCAGCAAGAGCTAGAGAGCGAGAGACTGTGGGAGAGGGGAAGAGAACGCTAGAGAAAGAAGGATGAAGTCATACCTTGCCGTGAACACGATTATTGAGCAAGAGAAGAGAAGACAATCACGAAAGCGTCCTAGAGCGAAGGAGGAGAGCTCTTGCCCTAACCAATTGAAGGAAGAAGCGTCGAACGGCTCCGCTGTGAAGGAGGATAGAAGGGAGGTGAGTCGTGTCATGCGAGTGGAGACATCACACTCTTAGGAACTCTTAGGATTGACGCTTGCGGCTCCTGTACGAAGGATATGACTCCTCAAGCCTCTATGTGCAAAGAGTAAGAAGAAAAGAGCGGAGACGAACCAAGTGATTTCGAGTAAGGGAACACCGAACCGAGCAATAGCATATGCGTGGCTTCAAGCAGAAAGATAAGGATAGCAAAGCATGTCGTGGAGAAAGTAAGCGTTTTATGTTTAATTTTGAGGACGGTTTGTTTATTTAATGCCAAATATTAAAAATTAATTTTAAAATTTATTAATTTAAATTAGTGATTAAAGATACAGAAATCGAAGCAAAGCTCAAGAAGCTCGGTAGATTTGAATAATTGATTCAAATAAAATTTTATATAAGAATTATTTTATGTTTAAATAAATTTATGTTAAATAACGATATTAAAAAATAATTTAATTATAAGAAAGCATAAATTATATATTGAGATTTAAATAGATATATATTAGTATTAAATTTTATAAAATATTGTAAATTAAAATATATTTAATAATAAATAATGCAAAATTATTATTTAACTTAATAATAATAATAAACACTTTATAATTGATGATAGATATTCTATTATATAGAAGATTTCATTACTTAAAAGCAAGTAAAACCGTAGGGAAGAATAGAAAGTACCTTTACTTTTAAGTTATACTAGTTTTTAGCTTCTTTTAAACTGAATTCATTAATTGTTGCGAAACCTTGTTGCATTATTTTATGTAATTTTTAAGCTCTTTAAGATATTGGTCATATCATTGTGATGTATATATATTTTTAGGAACACTAATGTTATACATATGTAAATGTAGAGTTGAATGAAAAGATCATATTAATGAAATGAACTATATAGTATGCTTGCATATACATGATTAACTATGATAGAGTTCACTCCCTTAAGGTACTAGTTGTATAATGCTAAGGTATCAGTACAAGTAAATGAAAAATTTTATTGATATTGATGTACCTTAAAATGTACAATTTATCTGACAAGTGTTTATAAACTAATATAGATATGAAAATGATATAGTATGACAAAATAAAGATTTTGAAATATTTTGATTGATCATATTCATACATATAAATTATCAAATACACTTGTACATATTTATTAAAAACTTAACAGACATACATATTATTTTTTTTATTGTGTTAATGTAGTTTAGGAGTATGTGTATCTACTAGCTTATTAGCTTATTTTATCTTAGATAAATATGTTCAGGTTAAAATGGCATAATAATGATGAGTTAAAGAAGAGGAAATATTTATACAAGATGTGAACAACCAAATAAAAAGTAAAAAAGTAACTCTTTTAATTTATATTTTTTTGTAATTGCTTATTCAATTATTTTTTGTTGATAAAATATTAATTATAGAGAATGAAAATAAAAAAAAAACTTGATTCTAATTATCCATTCGTTTATTCTCAACTTAGTACTTAATTCAAAGACTCAGGTGTCGAGTTGTGATAAAGTGGTATCAGAGATGAGGTTTAGAATTAATTAATACAATTTTAATGAAAGAACCAATAGAATAATTATATAAAAATTATTAATAATAATAAAATTTTTTATGTTAACTCTAATTAAGTAATTATTTTAATTCAAGCAGATGGGTGTACCCAATATTTTGGAAGAAGAAATGTGGTAGGACTTGAGAAAGTACTTTTTATTATAATTGTGAATACCAGTGCTCTGACCGAGATGATAACGTTAATGGCTCATTTGATTCAAGAATCCATATTAAATTCTAGTGGAAGCAATATCATTGTCGTGGCTAAATATTTGAAGATATTTTAAGATTTATGTCCATCTTTATTTAAGGAAATTGAAGATCTAATTGAAGCAAATAACTGGTTGATGCAGATAGAAAAGAGATTAGACAACATGGCATGTGTGAATGAAAGAAGAGTAGTATTAGCTACTTCTGTGCTTTATGAAGAAGTTTGAAAGGTGGTGGTGTGGGCAAAGTCAGAACATGTCAGTGGCATACAAATCATGATGGTAAAATGAGAAGATTTTGTGGAGCTTTTTAAAAAATGTTTAGTACCACAATCTGCTCCTAAATAGATGCAAGACAAATTCATCAAATTGTTGCAAAAAGAGAAGATGATTATGTAGTATGATTTTGTCAACCATTGCTCTCACTTGAATTAAATATCTTTAGAAAACCTCGCTCTGATGACACTTTTTGTGATAGAAAAATCAGATTCGATCAATTCATAATCAAACCACACCACACAAAAAAAAACGCTGATTCGAGAGATTTAGAATAACAACAGAAATTCAAAATATAAAAAATTCTAAAAAACACACAAAATTAATTTGGGCAAAACTGAGAATGGAAAAAATCCATGGAGTCACATCACACCACAATTCCACTATGAAAATCAGGGGAAACATACATATTACACTATGCTCAGATTTTCTTTCTACTCTCCTAGAACTTGCAACAATATGGATGCTCCTTCCTCTCTTGATCACACAAGAGAAATCAACTGAAATCCACCCCTCGACACTTCACACAACTCACACTTGTCACACGTCATTAAGAGAATACACTGCTAGCAAGTTTTCAAATGAAATAAGGACCTAAAATTGAGTCAGAGATAAAATCGCCCTTGACTCTGGATCGTCTGTCTAGATCTCCACCTTTTCACTCACTCTATCTTAAAAGCACGATCTGACCAATGTTGTGCCCCTTATGGGTGCAGGAATTCCAATCTCACTATTTCTAAAAAAGATGAGCAAAAACGCAACACATCAGCGCTTTGATACAGGACTTCCCTGCACTGGGTGTCCTTCCTGGCAAAGGGGCACCACTATGGGTGCAAGGAACCCCTAAGGGGCGCTGGTTTTCTTTTATATAGTGTTTGTTCTACTGTTATTGTGCATCAAACTCCAAAACACTAACATAATAAGAAAAGAGCGCTCAAATATCCCTTCGATTATCTTTGTCAGATGATCCTCCATGTGATGCATATGTCTAGAGGTGATAGTTGTTTGAACACTAGTGTTGCAATGAAAATTTCCTATCATAGACATTTGCAATCAAACCTGAGATTCCTAAAGACATCCATAGGTAAGCATTCCAGAGACATCCTTGGTGATGCCTGCAACTTGAGCATCACACAACAGGGTCAGTACAATTCGCGTAGCCTGGCATGTTCACATCAAAGTTCATGAAGAATGTGTTGTGTGACCCAATTTCATCATCTTCTTCTTCTTTCTCATTTGACACAAGTGCAAGGATCCTACTAGGTTCATTTTCAAGTCCATGCAAAGTTCCTATTCCTATGTCGTTGAGTTTACTAACCCTTAGCATACCATTAGACTTTGTTTAAAAGCATTTTTCATCATATACTTCTCATGCCATTTCTGATTATATTAATAGGTTGTTTATGATGGTCATCTCATTTTAATTACTTTGTGAATCCATTTGTCACTTTGTTTTAAATCTCATTTCCATCAATTTGCCTATATTATTTTTAGCTAGTCTACCTTATTAACTTTAGCTTCCAAATTTAGGGGAAGAACCCAATTTTAAGGAAATAGGTGGCAATAAAAAAATGCAGCAAGTATTTAAGTTTAATATTTTTCTCTTTTTTAATTTTTAATATCAATTATATATATGTTTATTAAATACATTATAAATATAAAACTATTATTAAGTATTGCAAAATTTTTAGTGTATTATATAATATTAATACATTAGTAAAAATTCAAAAGCTATTGACAAGTGCCTCCTTCAACCACCTTGGGTTTCATCGCTGCTTCAAATTTACAGTTAGATGCTACAACATCTCAATTTTTAAAATGCATTTACGGTGAAAGATCTCACCTCATTTGTTCATATTTGTTCTCAAAATTTTCACTTTAGAAGAACGCGATTGACCTTTCTATTATTATTAGTCCCATGACGTTTATCACCTAATCAACCCTTGATATGATCACTAAAAATGTATTGCATGTTCTTGAAATATCTCAAATTCTTCTCATTGGCGAACAAAATGAAAATTATTTTCCATAAAAAGTTTTTTTATTGTTATTAGAGAATTTCAAGTGTCAACTTTCTGGAAGATAAAAGAGTTCAAGTTATTTACACCATATGGAGAAAAAAATAGAAAAAAATATCTCATCACTCTCCTATTTTTACCAAGCTTCAAGCTATACATTCCAAATAAAATTATTATTTATTTTCTTCAATGTATTTTTTTTTTATTTTTTGCTCTGTCATTTCTTGAAAAATGCACTAGACATACTCATATATCATTATTAAATTAATATAATTGATTATAAAAAAAAATTTACGCGCACCACAATTTTAAAAGAATGTTAGATCAAATATTATTCTTAAAAGTTACCACAAATTTATTATAGAAATCGATCAAGCATGCAGAGCAGAGAATAAAAATATAACAATTATGGTTTAAAGATTCCCTTTAAATGGGTCTGTTTAAATAAGACCTAGCTGACCCATTAAGCTAAAAGGATGAGACAAACTAAGCTAAGGGAAAATTCTAGGAGAGAGAAATTGGAGGAGGAACAAGGAGAGACCTCAATGAGACAAAAAATTGACAAAGGGGGTGCTTGGCGGAATCAAGTTAAATAGGATTTATCAAATCCTGTTAAATCTGTATTTATCAAACGCGACTAGCGACGACGATGGATGACGAGTGACACCTTAACGGAGCGTTGGATTTAGATTCTATTTTCATATGTTTGGCGGGATTTAAGTTAAATTAACTAAATCCTGTAAATACTATGCTACCAAACACACCCAAAATGTGCAAATTATGTCATTCCCTAGCTCAACCAACAAACGTCTACTTAGAAGAGGATCAAGGTTGCCAGTATAAAATTGGCTACATGATAAAAGCGTGAGAAAGTACATAAATAGAAACTGTGAAGGTAGTTGTGTAGTGGGCAAGTGTCTGTCAACAACAGTTTTTGCTTCAAGAAAGTTATGGATTGTAGGTGAGTATACTTGCCAAATTATCTTGGGAAAAAGCTGGAGTAGCTAAGTTTTAAAACTCTTGATGATTTAATTTTTCTGGCCGATACAGCCATAAGAGTACAATTATCTTAATACACACTCAAAAAAACCACCTCCAACCAAACAGAAGAGGATATTTTAAAAAAGAAAGGAATAACA